ATGTTATAACTCCATTCATCTTCACACAGGGACTCTGTTATAGCGGAACGTACCTATTTCTATTGTAAATAGATCTCCCACAGATAACTAGTAGTAGTAGCAGTCGCCAGTGAAGCTGAATGAGTAGTGTGAGTCGGTCGATGTCGGACATTAAAGTATGAGCCCCACTACTAGATTGCTGCGTCATTAAGTATTATTTTCAAGTTCCTAACGTTTTGTACGTCGAACCTAATTTAGGACCGACTTAGTGAAATACAAGCTTCCACTGTAAAAATTACTCTACAACAGACTCAAATTCAACAGGGCGGCCTACGTCAAGTGCCTTGAGGAGGTAGTGCTGCCCTGGGTCAAGAAGATATCTGCTGGAAGACCCTGTGTCTGGCAACAGGACACTGCACCATACCACCCAAGCAGGAGAATCCCTGTCATGGCTGTCAGACAATTTCTTCGACCACATCACTGCTCACATCTAGCCACCTAACTCCCCTGACTGCAACCCCTACCTTAACTATTACGTGTGGGTCACAGTTGAGCGAAAGACCAACAAAACTCCTTGTAACACCAAAGATGAAATGAAGGCAAGGATTGTGGTAACATTCAACAACTTAAACAAGGAGACCGTCCAGAAGAGATGCAGGAGATTCTGAAGTCGTCTGGAGGTCTTTTTGAAGCCAATGGCTATTTTATTGAATAAATTTACTATTTAGTTTTTCAAGATATTTTTGTGTAACTTGTTAAAATGACGGTTATTTTCATTTTTGAGAAACTTAGAGTATAATTCAACCATCGCGTCATATATATATATATATATATATATATATATATATATATATATATATATATATATATAAGTTATGAAGAACTTGGTAATCCGTATGGGTAATCCCAAGGAGAATGAAATCCTGAGAGCTCAATGTAAATCCAGAGCTAATATTTAAAAGAAAAACAGACCACTTTAAAGGTACCATTATAATAATTTATTTCACCAGAACCCTTTTAAAGGACGCCGGATCATCAGATAGCACTTCCAAAATTTATTTTAATTATTTTATATATATATATATATATATATATATATATATATATATATATAAAATTAATTATTTATATACATATATAAAATTAATATTAATTATATATATATATATATATATATATATATATATAAGGGGAAATCTTATGACAAAATGGAAAAAGTTTAATCCTTTTGTTAGGACTACACATGCGCACGACAGACAGGTGCTGGGAATTTTAGATTTTTTTTTTCAGCCGAATTCATTTAGAGGTTTTTTTTATTCTTTCCATCACTTTTGAAAGTACGTATTCCACACTGTCATAATAAAAGATCTGCCAGGAATGGCGAAATGTTGTAAGAGCCAGGGTAGCAATTTACTGTAAACAACCTTGTGATTAAAGCCCTCTCTAGACATTTACGTCGAAATGAATTATTTTCTCCTTTGTTCATGTTAACATTTTTTATGCCAAAGTTGTTGCCAGTCTCGTTACAGTAGGCAACCAATACCTTCGATGTATTATTTTGTAAAATATCCCTTTTATGTTCATATAATCTTGTATTTAGATTCCATTGGGTTTCTCCTATGTATTTTTGGGGATAATTATTACAAGCGATGTAGTAAACTCCTCCTTCAGGTCTTAGCTAATTGTTTTGTTTAGTATTGACTAATTTGTTTTTTTATTATTATTATTTTGAATGTAGTAGTAACGACTTTTATGTTAAGTTTAGATAGATTCTTTTCGGTTGAAGATATGAAAAAATTAGTAGGCAGGATAATATAGTTGTTAAAGTTATGATAAACTTTATATATATATATATATATATATATATAAACATATATATATGTTTAAAGATATTTTTATGTTTATACATTCTTTTTATTGATACAAATATTTAAGTAAATGCTCTGTTTATTATAAACAGTATTAAACAACATTTTCTGGCCTGAATGTCCGAGAAATTTTCATAGAAAATAGTTTTCCTCCGACAGGAATTGAACCTGTATCCTAAACGGAACCGTTATATAGCCTGACGTGCCTTTAACCGATTGGGCCACAGAATAAAAATAATTGTCGGACTTTGTCCATTTCATAATGTGTGACGTCATTTGTTTACATTTGGATACGTCATGAGCAGATATGAATGTATGTGAGAGATTCATGGATGATTGTAGTTTAAAGACAGTAAAATCGACCGTGCTAACAGAATGCTCCTCTGTGGCCAAATCGGTCAAAGGCACGTCAGGCTATATGACGTTTCCGTATAGGATACAGGTTCGATTCCTTTCGGAGGATGAATATTTTCTATGAAAGTTTCTCGGACATTCAGTTGTTTAATACTGTTTATTATAAACAGAGCATTTACTTAAATATTTGTATCTATCAAAAGAATGTATAAACATAAAAATGTCTTAAAATAATTGTCGGACTTTGTCCATTTCATAAAAATATATATGTCTGTATAGGTGTGTATATGTATGTACATATTCGCATATATACATGTGTATATATCTGTATATATATATATATGTGTGTGTGTGTGTGTGCATATATATATGTGTGTGTGTGTGTGTGCATATATAAATATATGTGTCTGTGAGTGTGTGGGTGTTCGTCTGTCGTAATATTGATGTGTTTTGCGTTAATAAATTTATTTCAGAATGAGCATTATTATTCTTAAATGTTTGTGACTTTTTTTTGTTAATTTTGGAATTTACAATAAAATTTCTTTTTGTGCATCTTTTCCGGACATCTGTCCATCTTCTTCTTATTATTATTATTATTATTATTATTATTTTGTTTATCCTTTTCTCCAATAAAAATTTAAATATCAAATGCGCTTCTGTCTATAACAAGAATACAGATTAACGCTTCTTTCGCGGTTTCTTATTTCCCTCCCTTCCCAAATTGCTCCCGCACACATATACGTACGCATAAACACACAGTGCATTCCAACATATGTTGACACATTAGTCACTTTCATTTGTTAATTACACACTTTCGTGATTACATCGGACCTTATACTCGCACTCACACACACACACACTTACACATTCACACGCACACACACACACACACACACACACACACTGACACACACAGATATTTGTCTGGAAGTTCGCACACATACAAGCATATGCGCAAACACAACACACAGACACGCACACTATTTTTTTTAATCTCATTCATCTTTTTCTGTTATTAATGTCCTTTCGGCAAAATTCTGATAATTTTAAGAATAATTAAGATATTGAAAATGTAATAATATAGAATAAAACAAAATTAAATATATGTATAAAAATATATTAAAATAAAATAAAAAAAGATGAAGAGAATGGATTTAAATTGCCAGCCCTTAATCGATCTGCATATGTTTTCATCCTGCCCGAACTTTCGCCTGATCAATATCAATCATTTTCTTTAAATTTGATCTGATTTTATTGTGGAACAGCGGGAAAAGAGTCGTTATTTTCAGAGACTGAAATTATTACATATTAATTACAGTGATTCTGCCTAGGTCTGTGGAAGATAAATTCGACATGAGGTTAATAATACTGAGCGCGTGAGGCAAAACAAACGTCACCGTGTTTAAAGTAGCGGACGTGGCAAGAAAAATAAATAGAATCTCTTATCATTTTCATTGTTAAAATAACCAAATAATAATAGAAGCAATTAACATAGAAACGATGGCCAGCCTCGAAGCAATGTTGCGTATTCCCGATAAGGCTAGAAGCCGGTGTTCGACTTTAAGGCACTTTTTTCCCATATGACATGTCCCTCCAGAACCTGGACAATCATAGCTCTCCACAAATTCCTATCCTTCGCAGCTGTTAGTAATATCTGCCAACTGCTTGAACAAACACTTGCCTGCCTCGATAGAGATCAAAAACATCTGCGCGGACTTGTGGTTGATGAATTATCTTCCACCTTTTACTACAGACGAAACGTTGCGAGTGTCTTCACGGTTTATCGATATTTCCATGGTATAAGTTCTGACGAACTATAGTCCTTGGTCCCACCAGCCCTGGCCTTTACAGATGGAGCCCTCCACGCTACGTACACAAGGAGGATGTCATAACACTAACCTGCTTCTCATCAAAGTATTCCTTCGTCAATTTTGATTTGTGACAGGTAGCATTATCCTGTATAAAAATGAGCTTGGTGGGGTCGATTTGAACCCTTTCAGCAGAAGGGAGCAGACAAGACTCTAAAATTCTCTTGTTCTGCTCGCTCCTGAGTGTCTTTTCAGTAGGTTTTAAGAAACCAGTTTCATGAAAAGAAAAGCATCCCCAGAACATTATACTGAACGGATGCTTGACAGTACTTACTGCTAAATTCAAAGAGCTTTCAAAGCTTCTTTTTCGGATTTTAGATTGTTTATTCTTTGAATTTAGCTCAACTTTCGTTTCATCGGAGAAGAGAACATTTAGTAAAAAAAAATCAGGTGAGTCACTTTTATCGAACAACACTGTATATATATTACATTCAGTACATACATAATTACACATGAACATACATACACAAAAATATTTCGGTGTATACATACTGTATATGCGCCGTATAGATTAATTCTCACACACTCATACTCACAGACTCACTAAAAGAAATGATTTATACTCGAATTTCCTCCCTTAAAACTCAAATTGCACCCTCTGTGGAACGTGTGCCCCACGTTGGGAACCACGGCACTTGACACGAAAAAGCTTTTGATAACATGTGGCATATGGCTTTGTTAAACCAACCCTCCAGCTGTTGAATCCCTGGAAGAGTCTTGTTAATTATCTAGTCCTTCCTTACAGGTAGATTGATCTGAAATCTTTGAGATCAATCCCGGCGTTCCTCAAGGTATTCATCTCGTCCCTATCTGCTTTTGCCTTTATATTAACGATCTGCCTAAAAACATACTCAGATCTTCAGTGAATATCTATGCAGATGATACCCCAGTTTATATGTGCGACACAAAAACCTGGATGAAAATTGGCCAGGCAGCTTCTCACCTTTCTGACCTATCCCGGGCAGCTTCTCACCCTTCTGACCTATCCCTGGCAGCTTCTCTCCCTTCTGACCTATCCCAGGCAGCTTCTCACCCTTCTGGCCTATCCCAGGCAGCTTCTCTTCCTTCTGACCTATCCCAGGCAGCTTCTCTTCCTTCTGACCTATCCCTGGCAGCTTCTCTCCCTTCTGACCTATCCCAGGCAGCTTCTCTCCCTTCTGACCTATCCCTGGCAGCTTCTCTTCCTTCTGACATATCCCAGGCAGCTTCTCATCCTTCTGACCTATCCCAGGCAGCTTCTCTTCCTTCTGGCCTATCCCAGGCAGCTTCTCTCCCTTCTGACCTATCCCAGGCAGCTTCTCTCCTTCTGACCTATCCCAGGCAGCTACTCTCCCTTCTGGCCTATCCCAGGCAGCTTCTCTCCCTTCTGACCCTATCCCAGGCAGCTTCTCTTCCTTCTGGCCTATCCCAGGCAGCTTCTCTCCCTTCTGACCTATCCCAGGCAGCTTCTCTCCCTTCTGACCTATCCCAGGCAGCTTCTCTTCCTTCTGGCCTATCCCAGGCAGCTTCTCTCCCTTCTGACCTATCCCAGGCAGCTTCTCTCCCTTCTGGCCTATCCCAGGCAGCTTCTCTCCCTTCTGACCCATGCCTGGCAGCTTCTCTTCCTTCTGACCTATCCCAGGCAGCTTCTCTCCTTCTGGCCTATCCCAGGCAGCTTCTCTCCCTTCTGGCCTATCCCAGGCAGCTTCTCTCCCTTCTGACCTATGCCTGGCAGCTTCTCTTCCTTCTGACCTATCCCAGGCAGCTTCTCTCCCTTCTGGCCTATCCCAGGCAGCTTCTCTCCCTTCTGACCTATCCCAGGCAGCTTCTCTCCCTTCTGGCCTATCCCAGGCAGCTTCTCTCCCTTCTGACCTATACCAGGCAGCTTCTCTCCCTTCTGGCCTATCCCAGGCAGCTTCTCTCCCTTCTGACCTATCCCAGGCAGCTTCTCTCCCTTCTGACCTATGCCTGGCAGCTTCTCTTCCTTCTGACCTATCCCAGGCAGCTTCTCTCCCTTCTGGCCTATCCCAGGCAGCTTCTCTCCCTTCTGACCTATCCCAGGCAGCTTCTCTCCCTTCTGACCTATCCCAGGCAGCTTCTCACCCTTCTGACCTATCCCTGGCAGTTTCTCTCCCTTCTGACCTATCCCTGGCAGCTTCTCTTCCTTCTGACATATCCCAGGCAGCTTCTCATCCTTCTGACCTATCCCAGGCAGCTTCTCTCCCTTCTGACCTATCCCAGGCAGCTTCTCTCCCTTCTGGCCTATCCCAGGCAGCTTCTCTCCCTTCTGACCTATCCCAGGCAACTTCTCTCCCTTCTGGTCTATCCCAGGCAACTTCTCTCCCTTCTGACCTATCCCAGGCAGCTTCTCTCTCCTTTCTGGCCTATCCCAGGCAGCTTCTCTCCCTTCTGGCCTATCCCAGGCAGCTTCTCTCCCTTCTGACCTATCCCAGGCAGCTTCTCTCCCTTCTGGCCTATCCCAGGCAGCTTCTCTCCCTTCTGACCTATCCCTGGCAGCTTCTCTTCCTTCTGACCTATCCCAGGCAGCTCAATGGGGAAAGGACTGTTTTATAAAGTTTAATACCTCCAAAGTCAAATTAGTAACATTTCACAATCGAGAAGGATATCCTGAACATTCATGATGAATGCTTGTTCGCTCAATAAGCTCCTTGCATTGATTGACCCCGCACTAGGCAATAAATTTCCTCTAAAAACGATCTCCTAATATATATCAAAGGCCTTTGATAATATAGGGCTTTGTTAAACAAACGCTCTAGTTATGGAATCCCTTGAAGAGATTCGCAATTATCTAGTCCTTCCCAACAGGTAGATTCATGTAGATAGATCTTAATGGACACTCATCTGAAATCCTTGAGACCAATCCCGGCGTTCCCAAAGATACTCATCTCGTCCCTATCTTCTTTCGGCTTTATATTAACGATCTGCCTAAAAACATACTCAGATCTTCAGTGAATGTCTATGCAGATGATACCCCAGTTTATATGCACGTTGGGAACAACAGTTTTAGAATGAACCCGATATATATGGCAGTTACCACTCTTTTCAGGCGGAAATTCCTGAAGGACATTAAATATATACGACTAGCAGCTTAGCCCGGCGTTTCCCGTGCTTGATTCAAAATCGTACGACTCATACAGCAATCGCTATCACTTGACTTAAAATATTTTTGCCCTTCCTTGCCTTTAAAGGAGTGCCCTTTGCCGTGCTGCTGTTGCTACATGCCTTACTTCTTGCCTATCTCACACTGCGAATTTTTTCTAAGCTCTATACTAAACATTAAATCTGTTACGAAAAAAGAATTAAACAAAATGAACACAAAACGATCAGCTTTGAAAAAAGACGTAACTGGAAAAACCGAATGAAAAAAGAATGTTAACAACAAATACTTTTTCATACCAAACCCAGTTCTGAGGAATCAGAATCAACGTTGAGTTTAAGCAAGCGAATGAGTCAATTGGAGTAAAGTGCCATGCAGATTTAAATTTTTTCCACTTGTGACGAATGCAGCTATCGATTGTTTTTGCATGATAGCATGCTAGTTAACATTCGTATCAGTCAGCTGTTGGCTCTCACGCTGGCCAATAGAATCTTCCTGCCTATTCGTGTCAGCCAGCTATAGGCTCTCACTCTGGGCAGTAGAAAATGACCGCAAAGTACATGAAAACTGCCGTAGAAGTATGAAAAAATCGATTATTTCCATTATCGATGAGAGTTGGGAAATGTAAAGTCGGTCTTGGTCTTTCCGCTAACTTGGAGCATGTGCATGTAAATTTTGGTGCAAATCCGTCGAAAATTGCGGCCGTGCATTCGTTACACACACACAAACACACACATCCTGCCTTTTACAGACAGAGATATTTAGTATATACCGGCATCAGTTTCACCGCAATCAAAAATATGTTTTTAACTTTATTTTTACTTATATTTTGGTCAACGTGCAACTGAAAAGGTTACACTTCCTAGGACGGCCCACCTGGAGCTGGTCTTTCGTTAATTTGCGTTTACAAGTTTCTATGAAAGCGAGTAAAGGTCAGAAAAGCAACGGGGCATTTTAAATACTGTATTTCTAAGTCTATTGAACTGACCGTGGTTCGAACAAATATTCCGCTAAGAATTTCTTATCTTCTTCTATGTGTCGTGTTTTTTCAGGATGTTGGCGATCATGGCTCTCCACAATTTCCTGTCTCTTGTAGCACTTAATAACTATTGTTTCTTTTCCATCCCTCCCATATCCTGCTTCGCCATCCATTCACCCACGCTCTCCCCACCTCTCTCTCCCTCTCTCTTTCCTTGAATCTGCCCTGTGAGTATCAAATTCTCCAAGCTGTCCTTCTTCATTATGTACTCTGGAAATTTCAACTAACTCTTCTTGATGTAAAGGATATGTATCCTTTTTTTTATTACCATTTTCTCTAGAACTTCGTCGTTGCTCATACGTTCGGACAATTGTATTCTCAGCATCCTTCTGTAGAACCACATTTCTGTTGCTTCAAATCACTTCACCGTCTGCTTAGGAAATTGTCCGGCATTCGCTGACCTATAGGAGGACTAATACTAAGAATCCTGTACCCATATATACGTATTCGTTCCGTTTATTTATCAATCAATATATTTATTTATTTTCGTCTACCGGCCTAAATATCCGACCGGAGAAAGCATATTTTTCTTTAATAAGTTTTCTCGGCCGGTATTTCGGTGGTGGGAAATTGACTGAAGCCGCGATGCCAGTTCAAGGGCTATAATGCTGTAGATTCTTTTTTGAATTTTGTCAAGAATCTGAAGGCACAATAAAAGTAGAATATACACTATTTACATTATTCGGACTATTGTCCTCATCTTTGTTGCCATATTTATCACAACGTTTCGGCCGTTGTACGCTCCGGCCTTCTTCAAGTGGTTGGAATGTCGAACTGAAGCCTTTATTTCGCTCACTGGAGTAGACTGTTTTAGTTCCATGTGCCATGTTTAATGGATGTCAGTTATCAGTTATCTCCTGTTAATTCCCCCCTTCAAGTTCTTCACCGTCTTCGCCAGGTATTTAACTCACACTCTTTGAGTCCTGTCACTGGATCTATCTGACGCCTTTATCCACTATGCCATGAGTCCTTTATTTAATTCTGTATTCTTTATAAGAAATCAGTTTGTAGATCAGTGTTTGCGTTTATTTTGCTTCACGGCTTATCAACACCTCAATGGGTTATTTAATGCCGACAAGATTTTTTTAAGATAGTTTCGTATGAATAGAATATTTATTCTTTGTAAGATATCAGTTTCTAGGTCAGTGTTTGCGTTTATTTTGTTTTACGGTTTATCAACTTCAATAGGTTATTTAATGCCGATAATATTTTTAGGATAGATTCGTATGAATAGAATATGTATTCTTTGTAAGAAATCAGTTTGTAAATCAGGATTTGGGTTTATTTTTTGATTCAATGGGTTATTTAATTCAAAACAAGATTTTAGGATAGATTCGTATGAATAGAATATGTATTCTTTAAGAAATCAGTTTGTAAATCAGGATTTGGGTTTAACTTATCAACACCTCAATGGGTTATTTAATTCCGACAAGATTTTAGGATAGATTCATTATGAATAGAATATGTATTCTTTTGTAAGAAATCAGTTTGTAAACAAGATTTGGGTTTATTTTTTAGGACACCTCAATGATTATTTAATTCCGACAAGATTTTTAGGATAGATTTGTATGAATAGAATATTCTTTTTGTAAGAAATCAGTTTGTAAATCAGGATTTGGGTTTATTTTTGCTTTACGGCTTATCAACACCTCAATGAGTTATTTAATTCCGACAAGATTTTTAGGATAGATACGTATGAATAGAATATGTATTATTTTGTAAGAAATCAGTTTGTAAATCAGGACTTGGGTTTATTTTTATTTTTACGGCTTATCAACACCTCAATGGGTTATTTAATTACAAGATTTTTAGGATAGATCGTATGAATAGAATATGTATTCTTTGTAAGAAATCAGTTTGTAAATCAGGATTTGGGGACCTCAATGGGTTATTTATCCGACAAGATTTTTAGGATAGATACGTATGAATAGAATATGTATTCTTTGTAAGAAATCAGTTTGTAAATCAGGACTTGGGTTTATTTTGCTTTACGGCTTATCAACACCTCAATGGGTTATTTAATTCCGACAAGATTTTTAGGATAGATACGTATGAATAGAATATGTATTCTTTGTAAGAAATCAGTTTGTAAATCAGGATTTGGGTTTATTTTGCTTTACGGCTTATCAACACCTCAATGGGTTATTTAACTCCGACAAGATTTTTAGGATAGATTCGTATGAATAGAATATGTATTCTTTTTCAGTTTGTAAATAGATTTGGGTTTATTTTGAATCAAGACCTCAATGTATTTTCCGACAAGATTTTTAGATTCGTATGAATAGAATATGTATTTTTGAGAAATTTCAGGTTTGTAAATAGAAAGATTTGGGTTTAAGACTTGGGTTTTTTGCTTTACGGCTTATCAAACCTCAATGGGTTATTTAATCCGACCGTATGAATAGAATATGATTCTTTTTCAGTTTTGTAAATCAGGATTTGGGTTTATTTTGCTTTACGGCTTATCAACCTCAATCGGTTATTTAATGCCGATATGATTTTTAGGGTAGGTTCGTATGATGATATGTATACTTTGTAAGAAATCAGATTGTAGATCCGATTTCATTGATATACATACATTTGTAAAGAAGGTTGTTGTCAAGAGTCTACTTTGATTGATGGATTCTTTTCAGATACACGGTTTTTAGAGAAATTGATTCTGACATTTTTATTCTGTATATAATTTTTGGTAGAGCCCTGACTTGATCTTGGCAATGCTGGGTATCAATACTAGTCTTACGCGAATACAGGACATGTTTACTTTAGGAATTAATACAGTAAATTCGTTTTTAATATCTTGGAGATATTTATTTCCTTGTTTTCTTAATGAAAGTAAATTATTTTTACATAAAGAAAACATATAAATTCGAAGATGAATAAAATGGTTCTTCACTGTGTAGAAAAAAAAAGATGGAGGGATTATTTTTATGTTTCACCATTAGTGTTTTAGTGGAACTGTTGAAACATCTGTTGTTTATGCGAGAAAATGTCGGAAAAACAACATGAGATTACATTTTATCCGTCCATTTTATTTTTTAAACGGATGCGTAAAAAAAAAAAAATACCGCTCACTAAAGAACCATAAAGAACTCCGTTTATAACACAAGATGAACGATATTTTCAAATAAGATTTTTCAGTTTTACGATGAAATGCACTGACAGCACGAGTTAAGCGAAAGTGAACATGATCCAAACTTTCTTGTGACAGCACTTCCAAACATCGGATACTATAACCTGACTCAACATTAAGGAAACTTGGCAGGGACCAATTAATACGGTTTACAAA